AATATTTTACCTACTCATGTAGAATAATGTACTTTGTGGAGTTAGAGATATTAATACCTGTTTACTTATATCTGAATATTATCCTGGGATTAGGTTTGGGAAGTCCGGGGGGGTGGGGGGTGGGGGTTTTTTTCATATAGCATTGTGTAACACTTGTGATGTTTTTTTTTATGATGAAAAATAATAAAAATCTTTAAAGAAAAAAAAATCAATTCCAACTTTGCAAGATCTTTTTTTTTCCCGTGAGAAGTTGAAATTGATTGATTGAATCTTTTTTTTTGTACATGGTGGCAGAGGCCTAAAGGGAAAAGATTTTATCAAACCCAGCTGAAGACCTAGGACTGGGGCGATGGCATGCGTGCCCACAGAGAGGGCTCTGAGTGCCGCCTCTGGCACCCGTGCCACAGGTTCGCCACCACTGATGTAGGACATACTGGCAGAAGATCAGCAGAGCACATCCATGAACATCAATTAGCAGTCAGAAGGCATGACAACTCAATCTCACAACACACGAACAAATTTAACCACAGTTTCAGCTGAGAAACTATTTGCATTTTTTTCTTCCATTTAATCAGATTTTTGGAAACTGCCTGGACATGTTCCTGCAGTTTTCTTGGCAAGGTTTTCCAGAAATAGTTTGCCATTGCTTCCTTCCTCGGGCTAGAGAAAGTGACTGACCCAGATCATCCAGTTGCTCAAAGTGGGACTAGAATCCACAGTGTCCCAGTTTCCAGCCTGATGCCTTAACCATTACATTAAATCAGTCTGTGTAAGTGTTATGCCAATGTCCTATCTCTAGTTCTGTACACCTACCAGGATAGCACATCAGAACTGTGTTCACTGTCCGGATCTAAAGGCACCCAGCGTCCTATGGACCAAAGCTTCTGCATTTTCACAGTTGTTTCATCTCCTGTATCACGGAAGCATAGGAAGTAGCTATAACACAAGGACAAGATTGCATGGAAGCAGTGAAGTGGTTGGCTGATCAAATAGCCTCTGGGAAACTCAAGAAATAAACATTAGTTAAGACCAAAGAAAGAATTACATTGATATAATATGGAGTAGCTTTGGAATGACACCATTCTTTCATCATCAGAGGTATGGAAAGGGATAAATGTTGTTAAATGATCTGCCTAGCCAGGTCATATCTACCCTCCCCATATATCTCACTGCTGGATGAGATTATCCAACATCGTATGATGGGATATCAGTATGTAGATGATAATCAGCTCTGCATCTCCATCCCTGATGATTCAAGTGATGCTGTGGCTGCCCTTTTGCAGTGCATAGAGGTTGTGGGAGTCTGAATGGGGGACAACAGGCTGCAACTGAACTCTGGTGAAATGGAGTGCTGTGGGTCAAGGGGCTTTGGGATCTGGTTATCATCTTTAGTTCTGGATGGGATTGCACTCTCCCAGATAGACCTGGTGTGTAACCTGGGGATTCTCCTAGACCAGTGATGGCAAACCATTTTAGAGACCGAGTGCCCAAACTGCAACCCAAAACCCACTTATGTATTGTCGGATGCCGGGTGGGTGTGGCCCATTGGGTGGGTATGGCCCATTGGGTGGGCGTGGCTTCGGTGGTAACGGCAGACTGGGTGGGACTAAAAAGTTCAATCAATCAATTCCAACTTTGCGAGCTCTTTTTTTTTCATGCGAGAAGTTGAAATTGATTGATTGATTGAACCTTTTTTTTTCCACATGGCGGCAGAGGCCTAAAGCAAAAAGATTTTATAAAACCCAGCTGAAGGCCTAGGACTGGGGTGATGGCATGTGTGCCCACAGAGAGGGCTCTGCGTGCCACCTGTGGTACGCGTGCCATAGGTTCGCCACCACTGTCCTAGACTCGTGACTCCTGCTCAAAGAGCACATGGAAGTCGTGGCTAGAAGGACCTTTGCACAACTTCATGTTGTGGATCAGTCACGCCTTTATCTGGATTATGAGGCCCTGTGGAAGTCACTCATGTCCTGGCTATCTCTCGGTTGGATTGCTGTCATGCATTTTACATGAGGCTATGCTTAAAGACTGTTTGGAAGCTATAGCAAGTCTGGAATGCAGCAGCAGATAGTTCTGGGGGCCCTAGGGTGGCACATACAATACCACTATTGCGTGGGCTGCAGTTTGTTTCTGGGTCCAATTCAAGGTATTGGGTTTTACCTTTAAAGCCCTTTGTGCATGGGTCCAGGGTATCCCCAATGGGACTTGCCTATCCTATTCACTTCAGCGGAAGGAGCCTATCACAGACATCACCTACTAAAGAATCCCAGCTGGTAGGCTCAAGATGAAGAGCCTTTTCTACTGTGATACCCCCCCACACACACACATTCTACCACTGGAGGCAAGAACTGCTCCCACCCTTTAAGCCTTCCAGAAGAGTACCAAAACCTGCTTTTTCCAGTTGCTCACCACTGGAGATAGTTAATGGGGTAAGATGAAGATCTTATCCCTGTGCTGTCCATCTTCTTGGTTCTAGTTTTTTATGTAGCTTTTTAAAACTTTAACTGTTTGTATATTTATCCTTTTACTGTTTGTAAACCACCCAAAGTGGCCCTATCAGTGAGATGGGTAGGATATAAATTTAATAAATAAATACAAATAAAATAAATAACCTCAGTATATACAGCAACTCACTATTCTGTCCGGAGTGTTTGATTCCGAGCAGCAGAACCTTCCAAGATGTCCAGGTTCCAGCGCATCTTCTTATAAAGATTGTGAGGAATATGAGCAGCTGTGTATGGTGCTGAGATACAGTATCGAAAGATAGAAACTTGCCGAGTCTCATTCATCCAAAATTTCCCACAGAAGAAACACGATATGCTGGTGGAGATTTTGAGACAAATACGGAGTGACAGATATGTTTGTGCGTGTACAGAAGAAGAAAGTTGAGACAATAGGCAGGTTCGAAACCAAGAGCCAATTCCTCTTGCTCTCACAATAATAAATAAACCAGTAGCTTTTGAAGAAAAATTATGAATGTGAACCTAAGTTATCAAAACATAATGGAACCTTAGGCTTCTTTTCAGTATTCCTGAAAATGGAATAGGATCATCCTAGATTTAGACATTTTCAAAAAGAATATTTAGGCAAACTTTAAAAAGCTGTTCAATTTTCTGTCTAAGAGTACTTCAGGGAGCAAAAATACACTATAAATGTGTACTTTGTGGCACGTGCCAAATCTTGGTTTTATTTGGAAGACTATTTTCTCCAATTCTACACATTTGAATGATTAGCAAAGATCACTTCTGAAACATTTTTTGTCTAGCCTTGCATCATCTTGCATTGGCTAATTTGTTTTTAACAATTTTTATTCGTTTTAATTTTTATTTATTTGAATGTTTGTTGTTGCTGTTTTGACTTGTAAGCTGCCCAGGGTCATATAATTGAGACGGACAGCTATACAAATTTAAATAAATAAATAAATCGCACTACGTACATAGAGCTAACCTTTCCCTAACGGATGCTTTGTACCTGAATGGGTCTGTGTCTTCAAGAGAAACAAAGCTGAAAGAAGCATACATCAGCACCAGTTGCTCAAGCTGGCAAGCCAATTGCTGAGAAATTTCCAGAAGCTGTGGTAAATCGAAGAACAAATGTTTTGAGACTGGAGACTAAAAAACAAGATCTTAAACAATGTTAGGCAAGTCCTTGAGACCAGGCTAATCCCCAATATGTACCCTGCTAACTCAAGTTTTGTTTTTCCATTAGCTAAAACTTGGTTTGAGGCTTCATGGCCGGTGGGGTGGGGGGGTGGGGGGCGGTATTACAGCCAAATTCCTCATATCTGAAATCTAAGAGAAAAACTAAGGTTGGGGTATTTCTGCCTCCTTCCCTCTCAGCAGGAGGAGAAAGCACAGCTTTCAACCAACAATCAGTTCACTACCAACAAAAAAAAGGGAAAAAAGTGAGGAAGAAATGTGTTACCTCCTTTTTCTGTTCTGCCATACAGCTTCCATTGCTTGCCCTGAATTAGGCAGCAAGATCTGGGCATTGTGAGAGTGGGCAGCTTTCAGTATTTCCCAAAAAAAAGACAGTGTGCAGTTATCCTGTCTTATCTTCCCAACCATTAATTTTGTGGTGAAAAAA